ATAGGCTGTTGTTCTAGCTGTTGCATATTGTGCTGCAGGATGATCTGGGGCGTTGGCGGCTGCATAGGTTGCTGTATTAGCTGTTGCATAGGCTGTTGTTCTAGCTGTTGCATATTGTGCTGCAGGATGATCTGGGGCGTTGGCGGCTGCATAGGTTGCTGTATTAGCTGTTGCATAGGCTGTTGTTCTAGCTGTTGCATATTGTGCTGCAGGATGATCTGGGGCGTTGGCGGCTGCATAGGTTGCTGTATTAGCTGTTGCATAGGCTGTTGTTCTAGCTGCTGCATATTGTGCTGCATGATCTGGGGTGGTTCCATAGTGGGCTGTATTAATACCCCCCTTGGCGGCTGCATGGGCGTTTCATTTGTAGGCGTCCGCATGTTTATGCGCCTGCTTCTGCTACGCCGGTTTTGGAACCAACACTGGGATTGAAAATAAAACGTTAGTAAAGGATTCACCCAAGACATAACTAACCTCTTCTAACAATGAACGTTACCCAAAATGCGATATACAAGAATAACATCATGTCGCGTAGAATAATAAAAATTAGTTTCTGCTATGTGATGGTATTGATGTGATGGTTCTCATATGAATGGTCACATCGTATGATCGATTGTATCTACATTCTTTAAAAATAGAACTACATACTAAATAAATACTACCATGTGAAAGTACCGCTTAGAGAAGTGACATCTGAATGGTCACCCACCTACAGAGGCTTACCTTGACATGCGGTATTCCAATAATTTATTACCAGTTATTAGTAAACCAACACGTCTGACCTATCATTCAGCTACATTAATTATTGATCATGTCGATACCAAAAGGCAATTGTCCCAAAAGAAACAGAAATTGCGTACTAAGCCGTGGATAATTAATGGTATTCTCAAATCAATCAAAACTAAGCAAAAATTATGCAAAACACACTTTCTTTCTAACAATCCAATTAAGGTGACGGAATATAAAAAGTATGCTGACAAACAAAAGTGTCCCAAAAATGCATTTGTCCTAGTATGTTCGCATATAAGGTGTGTATAGAAGGTTACAGTATATTTGTGCCTCTTGTTTCCAAACCTTACTATATGTAAACAATACTTTTTTTCCATAAACATTTAGCAAAATAATGTTTCCTTTGACCGATTTTTTAAAGAAAAAACAATAAAAACAAAAACGGCCTTTTGATAATCACTTGGGGGATTGTTTTCTACTATTATCACATGTTTCCAAACCAAGCTACACTGGTAAACATCACTTTCTTTCTACTCATTTCGCAAAATAATGTTTCTTCTGACGGCTTTTTTTAAAGAAAAAACAATAAAAACAAAAAAGCAATTTTAAATTCTCAATATTTTGTCATAACGTCAGACTGAAAGTACACCCCATGAAGGCAGAACAACTTGACTTTTTCATTCCTTGAGCTCAACTAAAATGTAAAATTCATGCCACAGATTTCAATCGAAACATTTTAGAGGAAACTAAATTCAAAAAAAAAACATAGATATAATGCAACAATGTGCTGTTCATTCTTCAAGCCATACAAAATATCACACTAAACACTATTAAAATAAATAGCAGGCTATAACTTTTTAAGACAAAAGATATGTTGACCAAATTTTGGTTTTTGACCCTTCAATAAGACATATTTTAGTTAAACTTACAAATTGTCTGATTTGTTAACCTCCGATTTTTCGAAAAACCCTGGCACCTTTTACTTACTGACTTTGGAACGGGGTGTTTATCCACAGACTCAAGAGGTACTGGTCCTCAGCAGGGGAAAACATTTTCTGAAGAGGTTCCATTTGAATGGTCACACTCGAAGATTTCAGTTACAAATTCCAGAACTCATAGCGTATTTGCTTAATAGTATGTGTGAAAATCGCACAAACCTTACCTGGATAATGCAGTGCTCGAGGCCAAGCTCTCGCGCTATTCTCTCCCTTAAGTAAATTCCTGGGTATCGGTCTTTCTGAAAAATTTCCTCCAAACGAGCAAGTTGCTCGTCTGAAAATTTCGTTCTGCGGCGTCTTTCTGGGAATTAAAAGAGAAGTCGTTTGAGGTCGTGATAACTAGTGTGCCCCTTGTAAAATCGAGTGTAGTTAAACGCCAAGGTTGTCTCGGGAAATAACTTGAAGTCGAAATGTCTCGCAAAGTGTCGCATTTATAATATGACTCTTTCGCATCAACAACTGAATTTATGCATAAGATTAACGGAGACTGATCTTTCGACTGTTATGATGATCTACGCAATGTCTTCGGTCTTATGTTAAGATACACAAAATTTTAACAGAACTTAAAGTGTAAATGAAATTAAAAACTTTTAAAGAGAATATACAGTTTTACATTAACACTATATGGTGACACTATTGCTCTAGGCTGATTTAACCCTTCGAGTGCCAAGGAGAAGTCTCAGGGGCACCCAAAGACTGTTTTCTGTAAAATGTCTGTTCGAAGAAGTAAATATTGCCTGGAATATTATTTTCTATTACTTGGTTTAAGGAATACTAAAACATTCATGGCTTTGGTCTCGCAATCATCCCAGTTTCCACGGTCTCTGCTAGGAACACCTGGGACCACAACAGTTGTTTTGTGTACTAAACACGAAGAAAAAAAACCACTTGCGGATATGAGTCTCACTTACATAAATGTAAATATTCCAGTAACTATTTCTTATCATGATTTGGATGTACAAATGTACTGAAAGTGATCACAAAGGCAGTTTGTCATCCAATACAAAAAAGACTTTGAGAAACCAAATAATATTTATACATCCTCTGGATGACAACAGTACAACAGAGTACGATACAGTGTCAAATGTTTTCGAGTAATCAGCCAACACTATTAAGAAAGTTCGCCCTTTTTCATGGCTATAATAATCGTCTCTGATGCATTATAACACGGTTCGGTA